GTGGGGGGTTGGGGGTGGGGGGTTGGGGGTTTGGAGCGTTTTCGGGGGGTGGTGGGGTTTAGGGCTCGACTCACCTTTAAGAATAGGGTGAAGAGTTGAGGGTCGAGGCTTGGATGCCTTCAAGGGGGCATCCCTAAACATTGAAGGGGCCCGTCTGTCAGAAGAGGCACCCAAAAAGGACCTCACCATTTTTTAAAACAAGCCCCCACATATCTTCTAAGTACGATTATCACAGGGAAGTGTAGGGAAGCCCTAAACCCTAAACCCGAAACCCCAAATTTGTGAAACTGAACTCCCGAGATGCCAGTCAGGAACCAGTAAGCTAGCGTCGATCCCCAGGCGCAGACCCGAAACCCAAAACCCTGGCAAAACTCCGAACCCAAAATCCCCAACCCGTAAAGGGTTTAGGGTTCAGGGTTCAGGGTTTAGGGTTTAGGGTTCCGGTTTTAGGGTTTAGGGCTTGGGGCTTGGGGTTGAGGACCCCGAAGCCCCAAACCGCAAAGAAAGAAGGAAGCCCCGACCTCCCCCAGCTGTCCGTGCCCGGATCACGGCACCGGACCTCCGCGAAAAGATCCTGCAGACGAAGCCCGAAGAGGCCAAGGCATCAGACACAAGATTCTCTAAGGGTTTGTAGGGTTTCCAGGATTCAAATAGGGTTTATAGGGGCCTATAGGGGTTTGTGGAGGCTTCTAAGGGGTTTTGGGGGTTTTCCAAGGCAGCCGTCCTCGTCTTCTTCACTTTCAGACTCCCGGGAGCGGCCGCAAAGAGCGGACCTTCTCCAGCTCGCCGAAGAGGAGAAGCGCGTTCTGCCACCTGGAGCCCCGCTCACAGGCGTTGATGGCCAAGTTGTACAAAGCCACATCGGGCTCCCAACCCCGTGCACTCACCTCCTTGAGCAACTCGAGCACATGCTGCCAACGCCCTTGCTGCTCACAGGCGGAAGCAGCCGCAGTGCAGCAGATGAGGTTGCCGGAGATCTTCTTGTATTGGAGTTCGCGGAGAAATTGCAGCGCCTCCTCCCAGAGCCCCGCCACGCCGCAAGCATTTATGGCTGCCGTGTACGAAACGACGCCCTGCTGCAGAGACTGCACCCCCATGCGCGAGAAAAGCTCCAGGGCGCTCTGCCACTGGCTGCCGTTGGCGCATGCGGCCAAGGCCTTGCTGTAAGTCATGGTGTCAGCTTCAAGATGCGCCTTCTCCTGAGCTCTTCTTGAAACAAGGTGGGGACTCGAAAACACCTACAGGCACACCAACTTGTTCTGGGTCCCGGGCATAATTTGGAAGTTGGATCTGACCATTCTGAGCCTTTTGGGGTCTCCCTTGCCGTCAGGCCCCCTACACTCTAACAGCCACAAAGGGCACCCCCACCCTTACGGCCCTACGGTAGCTCAACATGACCAAGGCTCCAAGTCCGAAAAAAGGGCCAGGGCTCGGGACCACTGCCCTCCCTTCTCACACGCGCCCATGGCGGTGCCGTAGGTCACGGCGTCCGCCTGCAGCGCCCGGCTGCGGCACCTGGGGGTTCAACAGGGGCTTGGGGGCTGAGGGGCTTAGTGCTGAGGATACCCACCCCTAAGGCCTAAGGTTCCGGGGCTGCCTTTGAGGGTTTTGGGGGAGGGTTCTGCTGACAGCCGCTCCTTGCAAACAGCAGCAGGGCGACCTGCCACTGGGCGCTGGACACACAGGATCTCCTGGCTGGGTAGGCCCCTTATCTCCCGAACCCTAAATCCCTTAAGCGAATTTTGAAATCCCTGGCACCCTGAACCCCTAGAGACCTCACTGAACAATCCTTACGCCCACAGCCCACAGCCATAATGAACCTTTCTATGGGACAGGAACTCTCTTGACAAGGAACCCACGTTCGCAGGCTCACTCACTCACTCACTCATGTATCTATCCTTTGCTCGCCCTTTGCATCCAGTTCTTGGAGACCAACACAGTGAAAGATGCTTGAGACCCAACGTCTGCTTCCAAGCCGCTAGGAGCCCGACACTCCAGCTAAAGCCGTGGAACACTTTGGAATCAGGAGCCCTTCTGGGCACCCTGGACCTTAGCCCTCAGACTGAAACCCTAAAAACCCCAAAGCCCTAAAGCCCGAAAACCCTAAAACTTTAAAAAACCTCCCTAAAGCCCTTCACCCTAAAGCCGAGCCACAAGGCGGAGTTGTAAGTGATCACGTCGCTGCGCAGTTCTCGCTCCAGAGAAGCCAACAGGTTGAGGGCCGTTTCCCAGAGGTCGCCGCCTTTCAGGCAAGAAAAGGGGTTTAGGGTCGAAAGTTTAGGGTTTAGGGTTGTGGGTTTCGAGGGCTGGAGCGTCCTTCTGGGGGGGCTGCGCTTCGGCGTCCTTTGGGGGGGCTTCGCGTTTGTCAAACAAGCTCGGGAAGACTAGTGGACTGGGTCTGATTGGAGAACATACTATTTTCATTGCATTACCTACACCTTAGAAGTGGATTTTAAGGGTGCTGGCACGTAAACCCTAAACCCTAAACCCTAAACCCTAAACCCTAAACCCTAAACCCTAAACCCTAAATCCTAAACCCTAAACCCTAAACCCTAAACCCTCAAAACCCTCAGAACCCTCAAAGCTGTCCAAGCTCGGCGCCCCAACCGGGGTACGGCTCGGGGCAAATAGGGTTTTAGGAGCAATTATGGTATAGTTGGAAAGGGACCATAAGGCAATACTAGTAGTAATTCCGACCCCTACAGAAAGGCTTTCGGTGAAGGTTGAGGGCTTCTAAGTTTCCTTCGAGGTCTCACTACGTGCTATATCTGTATCTCACCGATAACAACGCGGTTGCAGCACCACACCTCTGACATCACTTGAGATGTCAAGCTGGAGGCTTCCAGTGTGGACCCTAGACCCTCCACCCTGAACCCTAAACCCTAAACCCTGAACCCTGAACCCTGAACCCTAAACCCCAGGCCCTAAACCCTGAACCCTGCCTGCTGCCGCCCGGATGGCCACGTTGTACGCCAGTACATCGGCGGCAAGGCGCTCGCCGTGCAGCTCCTGAAAACGCTTCCAGGGGGGGTACTAGGCTGCCCAGTAACCTAGGCTGAAAAAGGGTGCTCTTTTTTGCTTAAAGGGGTTTATAAGGGAACCTCCCCAAAAAGGGAATAAGGGCACTACTGGGCATCCTAGAGTAAGGTCTACCGCGGCTTGGGGTTCAAGGGCTGTTACAGCACAAGGACTCGCGGGCTGTGGGTTGGGCGAGGGTCAAGGGGTTAAATGTCTGTTTGTCGCCCTTGCCGGCCCTCTCGAGAAGACCCAAAAGGCCGCAAACAAAACCACGCGGAACCCTAAAGCCCTAAAGGCCCTATCACTTATGATGCTTATCACGTGCTGCAGTATCGTATTCATGTGACAATTATATAATTATTGGAAATGTATTCGTAAGACTTAAAAAACTCAACCATCCACAGCAGATTGCGCACCGCACTTTTGCATGCTTCTATGAAAAACAGCACATGGCACAAGTGCGAAACCGCCTTTGTCGTCAAATTTTCACCAACAAGAATTCTGAACGGGAACCCCAGTTATTGCCTTGGGTATTGTTCCGCATGTTTATGGGCTTTCCGACATGCTTACAAAAACAGATTAACATTGCGCACATCAATGCCGCTGTCGTTGCTAGTATTTAGCAGTGGTTCTGTATTGCTGCTATTGTCATTGTAACATGACCAGGACCACAATCCCCTGTACAACTTCCGGGCAGGTCGACTTCGTGTTCTGCTTCAAACCGCTTGAGTTCTACCAGTTCCAGCGAAGGCGGCGACCCCAGCATCACCAACCCTGGGAATCACAGCCCTAAACCCTAAAAAGGAACATTAGCTCAGCCTGGTGAGATGGGCAAGTCCTGAAACATTTTAATCTTAAGACCCCAATGCCTTCTAAGCCGAAGCCCTCAAAACCCAGAAAAAGCTCCTTAAGCCTGAACCCCCTCAAGCCCAACAGCCTGAGCACTGCAAAACCCTTACAACCCCGGACCCTCCAACCTCGCATTCCTTTGGTTAGAGGATTCAGCGCAATCGGGCTTGTGAGGGTAAGCGCATCATAAACCGTCTTGGGGGGCTCAGATTGTGGGGGTGTAGGGCTTGGGGGATTGTAGCAGTTTGAGGGCGTGGCGGCTGCTTGGGGTGTAAATTTTCACGTTCAAGCAACCCAGAACTGGATGGACCCTAAATTTGAAAAGGAGATGTGGAGTGCCAACCACAGGCTTCAACACAAGCGAGGTGGGGAGTGGAAAGCCCTAAGTCCTAAATGGGCGCGGGCAGAGAGCCTAAACCGTAAAATGAGGGCGTGTTAGCTGGGCGAACCCGCAGTCGGGGCCTGAGATCTTGGCTGAACCGGAAACTATTAACGGATATGCGGACGGCAAGAACCTCAAGAGGGTTTTGCAAAGAAACGCTAGCTGGTCTGGACAACCCTCAGATTCTCAAAGGAGACGTTGCCTGGGACACTGATTGGGACAACATTTGGTTTACTGAGGGATGAGTGCGCGTTTTTTCGGCACCTTAAGTGCACCACGTGCATTTTGTGAGCGCAGCTACCACGCCCGGTGCATTTAACAGGAAGGAAAGCTCTGCAGGAGTGAAGGCGAAAGAAGAAAGGGATAACCGAAGATGTACCAGGGCCATGCTGTTTCTATATGGCTCGTGACGTTCCAAGGTTGCAACCTCCTCCAACCCAAGCCATCGAACAAGCGTCACCTCCCTGCACTTCTCAGGCTTTGCGAGAAGGTGCCCGGGCGCGGCCGAAGCAGCTCGGCGTACAGCCTGTGGCGCTCGCACCCATCGCCGCTGCTGGCGTCGCCGCTTGGCAGTCGCAGCAGCAGTCTTAGGGCTTGGGTCTTAGGTTGCAGGCTTCAACTTACAGAAGTACCTCTGCCACAAGGAATACATGGCCAAGGCCCGGACATCCTAATAAATCGATTTGACGATGCAAGGGGCAAAATTGGCAAAAGGAGGTGCCGGCATCTTGCACAGGATCGGTTTCCGACTGTCCACAATATTCCTCACGAATAATTAAACTCCCCCACCCCCAAATACCTGAAACCCTCAGCGTTCTCCCCAGTGTCCAAACCCTACACTGCCTCCCGAACAGGATGCATTCCCGGGCAGCCTAAAACGTCTTGAGTTTACGACCTGCCCATGGCGTACATGGTTTAAGGTCTAAGGCTTGCAGTGTACGGTTTGGGTAAACCAAAAAACTTATGCGGCAAACCCTCACGCTAAACTTCCAGTCACCTCCAGCGTGTTGCCAGTGAAATTTGCGAGCTTTTGTCGCCAGCCCCAGCAAGACTCGCCACATGTTGCACTGGTGCCTGGAGCAAGAAGTCACAACTTGGACCAGCTTGGGTCCCCCCCCCGGCCGGCCGGCATCAGCGTCGTCGAGCGCATGAAGGCATCGAGCGCATGAAGGCCTAAACAGTTGCAAATGGGGTCTTGTTCTAACTAACACGGGCTTTGCCAGGTCCATCTTGCAATATCCAGACGTTCGGGACATTGATGTACGGGGCCGACCTTCTGTGCAAAAATGCTTGAGAACGTGAACTCAAAAATCATGCTTAAACATGCGGAATTGGGTAAGCAACTTAAATAGCCGATTTAATTCAGCAAACAGGCGCGTGCTCTCAGGCGCTGGGTGACCACGCTTCAGCAAAACACGCAAATACATATCCAGTACAAAGCGCTTGTTACCTGCTCCCGATGCGTTCGCCAAACAATCACAACTTTGATACAGTATTGCACTCAGTGCCAGCACACCGCATCTGCATTGAGACTTGACCTTATTCCTCATGACATTCGCTCCAATGTGCCTGAACCTGGTCTGGATCTTTATGGCCAGGCTTCCTCCTGGCTTGCAATACGGAGCTGTCAGTTGCAGGACGCACGCTCCGTCAAGCCCTTGTCCATCTGGCGCTTTGTTGCGCTTGTTGTCGACGTAGGGACTCAATGGCCTTGCGCATCATATACTAGCTCATACGACACTCCTATCATTTTGGCCCCGCAGTCGCAGTCTTGACATGCAGCTTTATACTCGCATACTTTGGATATCCATGATTGCTCCTGTCTGCTCTGGCAGGCATGAGCCCCATGGCTGGCTGTGCGATCGGAGCCTTCTCTGTCAGTTGGCCGAGCCTGCCTTTTGCAGCCGAAGGGAAAGGGAGAGGGCGAGGGAGAGAGAGAGAGAGAGAGAGAGAGAGAGAGAGAGAGAGAGAGAGAGAGAGAGAGAGAGAGAGAGAGAGAGAGAGAGAGAGAGAGAGAGAGAGAGGGGGAGAGAGGGGGAGAGAGGGGGGGAGAGGGGTGAGAGGGGGACAGAGGGAGAGAGAAAGAGGGAGAGAGCGGGAGAGGCTGATAGAAGGGGGGGCCACTGGAAAGTCGGACTAGGTGAAAAGCCCCCTGGGCTTGTGTTCGGATATATTGGCGTTAGATCCACCCAAGGTGGTCGAGGGGCAAAGCTAGCACCTATGTGAGGAAGGTGTGGTTGATTCGTCCCTGGCTGCACTGCAACTGCATTGCTATGCTCGGTGTGCTGTCAAGCACCTGTGCCATTAGATTTGGGGCCAGAGAGTCCCGCAATTTCACAGGAAAAGGATGGCGCAGATGATGAATCGAATCATCAGCTAGCCAGCCAGCCAGTCAATAGCATGGAGTACTGAATTGGATTGAACATGGCAATTGACCCGCCCTCTTTAGGAAACTTAGGCCCCGTCAACCTGTCCTTTTGCTTGTCTCTGTAAGTGTGTTCAAAATGGTCCAAGCTTGTTCTCCAAAACAAGCTGAACCCATAGCTTAGGTTCAAGCTTGTTCACTCAGATAAGACATAAGAAAAGGTTGAGCCGAAAGGTTGCTAAACTCAAATTTGCTCGATTCTAGCTTTTTGGGCATAAAAGAGATTCAATATTGGCCTAAACATGGGGAAGATTTGGCTAGTTTGGCGGTTTTTGGAAACACCCTAGATGGACAATCTTGGTGATTCTTATTTGGGCCTGTGATTTGTTGCCATGCTGTTTCTTTATCAAACCCCAATTTGGGACCAAAATATAAGCCTTTTCGGTACATTGGTGGCCTTGGAAACCCCTCCATTTGGCCAATTTCTGTGATTTTTAAAATACTGAGAATTTCGCGAGAGTTTGGTGACCTTGACAACCCCAAGTGGAACCCCCAATCTAGGGCCAAAGCAACAGGATTTTAGCAACTTTTGGAAGCGGGGGAAACTCCCCAAATGGCCAAGCATTCCGGAAACCTCCCAGAGAGCCCATAGTGTAGCATGGTGCAGAGGCCAGCCAGTAGGAAGTTGAATAAAGTATAAAGGCAAGAAACCTTAACTCACAAAGAGAAAGCCCCAAACCCCAAACCCTAAACCCTAAACCCGAAACCCTAAACCCTAAACCCCAAACCCCAAACCCTAAACCCTCAACCCCAGCTCCTCCATGAGCCCGGCCGCCCGAGACCAGGCCGATGAGGCCTCGAAGGCCGCGGCCGCGGCCGTGTGGGCCGCCAGGTCCAGCTCGAGGCCTCTGGGAGCTGGTGTTTTTTTCACACGAGGTTTAGGGTTTAGGGTTTAGGGTTTAGAGTTTAGGGTTTAGGGCTTAGGGTTTAGGGGTTAGGGTTTTGGGGATTAGGGGTTAGGATTTAGGGCCTCTGAGAGTATCGGAGCTTTTGGGGGGTCGCCACCCCTCGCCTCTTCGCATGCCTCTTTTTTACAGGGGATTGGGTTTAGGGTTTAGGGTTTAGGGTTTAGGGTTTAGGGTTTAGGGTTTAGGGTTTAGGGTTTAGGGTTTAGGGTTTAGGGTTTAGGGTTTAGGGTTTAGGGTTTAGGGTTTGGGGTTTGGGGTTTGGGGTTTGGGGTTTGGGGTTTAGGGTTTAGGGTTTAGGGTTTAGGGTTTGGGGGGTGTTCTGGGGTTTGGGGCTCTTCTGGCCTTTTGCTGGTGGATTTGGTTCTTGCTTTCTTGGTGGGGGGTTCGCGGGGGCGTAGGGGGGCCTTTGGGGGATCTAGGATTTGGTGTGCAGGGGCTTGGGGTTTGAGGGCTCTTCCCTCGAGAGGCCTTCTTTGCACAGGGTGTATAGGGTACAGGGGTTCAGAGATTGAAGGTGAAATTAGGGTTTGGGGTTGAGGGTTTTGGTGTTGGTTGCTTTTGGGCACAGGGCTTGGGAGCTCGGGGGCTGGGGGGCTCGAGGGCTTGGAATGCTTGCAGGCTTGGTGGCCAGCTCTTGTGTAGGGCCGGTGAAGGGGTTCCTCTACAGAGCGTTCTTCCTTCTTCTTTTCATCTGTCAAGGATGCTTTGTGATGGTAACTTGTTTGGGGGTTTCAGTGAGCCATCGAGCGTCACCGGTTTGAAAGGCCAGCGGCCTGAAAGCTTCTGAAGAGATGCTGTGCACCCACGTCTAGCAAAACCGCATGTGAGGGCTGGCACCAAAATATGAAGAGGTTGCTACTGGCGCTGCTGCCAAGTCAGACTGAGCGCTGAGCCTGTTTCCTCTAACTCCTCGAAGATCAATGCAGCATGCTGCCACTGGCCGCTAACACCGCATGCGCTGAGGACGGCGGTGTAGGTGTCGACGCCCACAAGACGTGCCTGACGTTGGCCGCCCAAGACTACACCATGTCGGTGCAGAAGGTGGACATGTGGAAACATTGCAATTGCAATCCCCCGTTCTGCTGAAGTCTAGATGTACGAGTACCGTGTGATGTTTGAGGGCGACATGAAAGCCGAGCCTGCTGCAGCTCAGAGAGCAATGCCAAAGACTGGCTCCACCGCCCCGCGCGGCCGCAGGCGACGATCGCGGCGTTTGTGGCCGCAGTTCGTCCCTGCAGGGAAGGGTCCGAATCCAAGGGTTTGTGCGGGTGACTGAGGCTGGTTGGGCTTTGCTTTCCGCTGACCTCGAGCCCAGCTTGTGCAAGTACGACGAGGCCCTGCTGCCAGAGTCCGCCCAAGGCACAGGCCCGGACCACTGCAGCTCGCGTGGCATCGCTCTCGCGCAAGCGGCGGCTGTCCATGGTGTCACAGAGCACCAGCACGCACTCCCAGCGCCCTGCCGTGACACAGGCGTCCATGGCCGCGGCGTACGTGGCGGCCGTGAAGCTGCCCAGCCGCTCGGCTTCGGCAAGGAGCAACAGCACCGCCTCCCAGCGTCCAGCACGGCCGCACGCAATCATCGCCGAGCGGCAGGTCACCGCATCGGCGGTGAGGCCGGAGCCCTGGATCCGGTCCAGCAGGGACCTTGGCTGTCGAAAGCCCCCCACCCCTTTGCAAAAGGAGAAGTGGACTCCAGTTCCCAAACCCTCACTACACAGTCAGACCCTAAAGCCTAAACCCTAAACACCCGAAGCCCTCAATTTTCAAACACCTGCAAGGCGCAAGGCTCTCTGCCAGGCCAGGCCTTTGCCGCAGGCACTGATGCAGGCGTTGTAGATCCCCACGTCCAGTCTCGTGCACCGCTCGGCCTCTTTTGTGCGGTTCAGGGTTTACGGGGGGTTTGGAGTGTTTGGGGTTTATGAGGGGTTTCGGGGGTTCAGGGGGTATGGGGTTTTGGGTTTCAAGAAGGGGTTTCAGGGGTTTAGGGTTTAGGGTTTGAGGCTCAGGGTTTTAGGGTTTAGGCTCATTCTGGGGCTTTCTGGGGCCCCTAGACCTCAAGTGCCTAGTTTAGGGTTTTTAGGGTTTAGGGTTTAGGGTTTTAGGGTTTAGGGTTTAGGGTTTAGGGTTTAGGGTTTAGGGTTTAGGGTTTAGGATTCAAGATTGGAATTCAGGGCCTCAGGGCTTCTTCAAGGCTGTGCGCAGAGGGCTGGGCTTAGGAGCTGCCAGAGATGCTTCGTAGCTTCAGGGCCGGGATGTTGGGAAAAGGCGCCCTAAAGCATGTTTCCCTAAACCAAAACCCTACACCCGAAACCCTAAACCCGGGGGGGGGGGGCTTGGAAGCCTGCGCCAGGAGAAGCTCGGCCTTCTGCCAGTGCCCTGCCTTGTCCTGGGCTTTTGGGAAGTCTGTGAAGGGTTTGGGGTTTAGGGTTTAGGGTTTAGTGGCTTTAAGCTCTTGAGATGCACCAATGAGAGCCCCATTTACAAACTCCCGCACTGCATCTCTAGGATGCCCCTAAGAAAACCCGTGACCGTCCCAAGGCTCACAGGCGGCGATCGACGCACAGAAGGTCACCACATCTCGGGGAAGTGTCTGGCTCACCATGTCCTGCAGACGCTGGAAGGATGGCTCAGGAAAGGCATCCCCCCCCCCCCCCCCCCCCCCCCCCCCCCCCCCCCCCCCCCCCCCCCCCCCCCCCCACACACACACCCCAGCCCCTAGTCCCGAAGAAACCCTACACCCTACAAAACTCTGACACCTAAATCAAGCAACCCTAAACAAACCTTCACAAAAAGCATGGAACCCCCCAAAAGAAAAAAGTAAAGGAAACCAAAACCCCTATATCCTGAAACCTAAACGCCGAAACCCTGACCACAGCAAGTGCCGAGTCTTGACTTAGCATTGCAATTTGCAGGGGCCGCAACTGGCAAGCAAGAGTAACCTAGGAATTAAAAAGGGGGTGCCTTCTTGGTTTGACGTGGCTTGCTAGGGAACCTAAGCCCTTAAAATAATGGCCTACTCCGGGTCCGAGTCACCCGACACCCTAAACCCTAAACCCACCCAGATTCGTAGCCTTTCAAAAGGGCGAAGCCCCACCTCGAAGAGGGAGAGCGCACTTCGCCAGTGCTGCCCTCGGCCATACCTCAGGAACTCCCCGCTGGGACTTCGGGGTTTTCGGAGCTCCCTGCTTCCTGGAATGCTACAATCCTAAAGTCCCAAAACCCTCCTTTAGAAACAGGACCCAATCTACAGGGCGCGAAGATCCTGAGCCCTAAACATACGCTAACCCCCCCCCCCTCCCAAACGCACTCAGCTCGGCTGCGCCGTGATGGCCGCGTTGTAGAGGCGCGAGGTGCCGCGCCCGGAGGCCTGGGCCGTCCAGAAGACCTGGCATGAGGAAGTCTCGGCCAAAAGGGTCTTCGGGGTCTGTGGAGGTGAAAAGTGAGAGTCAACAAGCCCCTCGAAACCCAAACCCTCCCCAAGTCATGCATTCCCGAGAAGAAGAAGAAGAAGAAGAAGAAGAAGAAGAAGAAGAAGAAGAACCATCGGCCCCCCAATTCCCGAAGGGGAAAAAAAACAAAAGCTGGCCCCTCAAAACCCTTGGAAGGAAGCCCCGTGCCCCCTAAACCCCAAACCCCAAACCCCAAACCCTAAACCCTAAACCCTAAACCCTAAACCCTGCACCCTAAACCCTAAACCCTAAACCCTAAACCCTAAACCCTAAACCCTAAACCCTAAACCCTAAACCAAAAAACCCTGAAAAGCTCGAGGCCGGGGAGCCTCTAGCACCGCGTGCCACACGGAGGCCTTGGAGAACGCGTGGACCGCGCGGTCCTGCGGCTTGGGATTTCTACGAAGGTAAGGGGGTTTAGGGTTTAGGGTTTTGGGTTTTGGGTTTAGGGTTTTGGGTTTTGGGTTAGGGTTTTGGGTTTTGGGTTTAGGGTTTAGAGTTTAGGGTTTAGAGTTTAGGGTTTAGGGTTTAGGGTTTAGGGTTTAGGGTTTAGGGTTTAGGGTTTAGGGTTTAGGGTTTAGGGTTTAGGGTTTAGGGTAGGATTCCCTTATAAAACAAGGACCCCAAGAAGGTACCCCGAATTTCGGACACCCCCACTTCTTGTCGGCCTCCAAACGGGCTGTTTGGGTGTTCCGGGCTTAGGGTGTTGAGGGAGTTGAGGGCGTAGGGCTTGGGCAGCGCGGGGCTACGGTAAGGGTTGCAGCTGGCTCATTCCACCCTAAACCCTGGGGAATAAACCCTAAACCCTAAACCCTGGGGAATAGCCCAACCCCTTTGCGCCGTACCCTGAACAAATTAGAATCCAACCCAGCACCCTTTACATCCCGAAACCCTAAACCCGACTCCCTAAACCTAAACCCTGAACCCTAAACCCTGAACCCTGAACCCTGTAAACCCTAAACCCTATAAACCCTATAAACCCTAAACCCTACACCCTAAACCGGCGCCGTCTCCTCCGTAACAGCATTCGGCTGCAAGCCCCGGGCCGGGAGCTCGGCACACAGCAGCAGAGCCTTCGGGCGAGAAGCCGACGGACCAAAGGGGGTTTAGGGTTTAGGGTTTAGGGTTTAGGGTTTAGGGTCTAGGGTCTAGGGTCTAGGGTTTAGGGTTTAAGGTTTAGGGCTTGCTATGATAGGGCGTAGGTGCTGTGAAGGTTAGGTTTCGGAACAAGCTCGAAAGCTTCGTGAGGTGCGAAGAACAGCTTTGGCCCGATTGTGGAGGGCCATCTAACACTTTCTCCCACCCCACGCTGTCCGAGGCGGCAAAGCCACCCAAACCTATTCCTTTTAGGGTTTAGGCCTAAACTCAAGGCAACAGTCCACTTCTAAAAAACTTATTCAGTTTCATGACGCTGCAGTTGGGTCCGAGAGTCAAAGGAACGGTAGGGGGGTCGGGGTTGGCCGGTGGCCAAAAGGCCAGGGATGCCAGAGGTAGAAGGCCACGCTACGGCGAGGGGTCCGGCTCCTCCTGGCCTGGGGGCCTTGGGGTACCCCCCCGAAACTGCCAGCGCCATCGGGGTTTAGGGACCAGTACTGGTCCTGGGGAGAACCTGCTCCAGAAGGCGGGCCAACTTTCGCCAAAGAGGTCGAAGGGCTTAAGCGCCGCCTGTAGGGGCGGCCTCGGCCCTGAGTTTAGGGTTCAGGGTTCAAGGTTTAAGGAAACTTGGGGGGCATTTTTTTCTGGGCGAAGGACATTCGGGAGTCACCCCTAAACCCGGAGTGGTTCTGGGGGGTCTCCCTAAACCCTAAACCCCAAACCCTAAACCCTCAACCCTAAACCTCCCATGCTTTTGCGGGGGTCACCCCTGAACCTGGAAGAGTTCGGGGCTCTTCCTGTGCTTTTGGCGGGGCCTTGCGACATCAGAAACCAAACCGAAACCCTACACACCAAGGAAGTCCCACAACACTTCTGCATGCCGACGCAGTAAACTCTACAAACCCAATGAACCACACAACCCTTCTTCAGTCCTGGCTTCTGATCAGCAGAACCAGCGTAAGAACAAGTGAATGACATGTTTTAGGGTTTCAAGCGGCCCCAACAAAGAAACAACAAAAACACAAAACACAAAACAAAACAAACTATATATATATATATACACATAGAAATACAGAAAAAAAAATATATATATATATATATGTATATGTATATGTATACATATATACATACATCAAACGAATCCCCTGAAGGCCCTAAACTCTAAACCCCAAAAACAACCGGTCGCCCAGGCGGCGCCTGCTGCCAGGCGCCCGCGCGGGCGCAGGCATCCAGCGCCGCCCCGAAGGTGACAATAGTCCCTGTCTCTGCGGGTTTGTGTATATAGGGCTTGGGGTTTAGGGTTTGTTTAGTTCGTTTAGTTTTTTTAGTTTGTTTACTTTGTTTAGTTTGTTTTGTTCGTTTAGTTTGTTTAGTTCGTTTAGTTCGTGTAGCTTTTAGTTTGTTTAGTTTGTTTAGTTTGTTTGGTTTGTTTGGTTTGTTTGGTTTGTTTGGTTTGTTTGGTTTGTTTAGTTTGTTTAGTTTGTTTAGATTGTTTAGTTTGTTTAGTTTGTTTTGTTCGTTTAGTTTGTTTAGTTCGTTTAGTTCGTGCAGTTTATTTAGTTTGTTCAGTTTGTTTAGTTTGTTTAGTTTTGTTTGGTGTGTTTGGTTTGTTTAGTTTGTTTAGTTTGTTTAGTTTGTTTAGTTTGTTTAGTTTGTTTAGTTTGTTTAGTTTGTTTAGTTCGTTTAGTTCGTTTAGTTCGTTTAGTTCGTGTAGTTTATTTAGTTTGTTCAGTTTGTTTATGGGGTTTAGGGTTTGGGGTTTGGGGCTTGGGGTTTGGGGTTTGGGATTTGGGGTTTGGGGCTTGGGGCTTGGGGCTTGGGGCTTGGGGCTTGGGGCTTGGGGCTTGGGGCTTGGGGTTTGGGGTTTAGGGCTTGGGGGTGTAAGGTTTCAAGCGGTTTGAGGCTTCAAAGGCTTTAGGGTTTAGGAAGAGAGGGAATGGATCTTGGGGAATTGAGGCCGCAGAATTGTGGGATTGTGGCTGTCAGGGTTTGGGCCGTGAAGTTTGCATTGAGGTTGACCGAAATGATGGGCCCTTTCGGGTACCTTGAAGAGAACTGTTTAGGGAACCTAGCGCAAACCCCCTGCTCGACAGCACAAAGGCGAGTTCAGAAAACATTTAGTTTAGGTACTTCTCAAAAAGCGCAACTGTGTCGGAAACGGAGAGGAGATGCAGGAACTGCAACTCGCCCCATGAATGTAGATCAACCCCTAAACACTGCTCTCAAGATGCAGAAGTAACAGGGTCTGCGTTTGCGTGTGGCGAAGGCACGCACTACAAGCTCACTACGTTGGCTTGTTATCGTATGCTGAGGCTTCTGGGCCCCTGAACCTTGAACCCTAAACCCTAAACCCTCATTCCTAAACCTTGAACCCTAAACCCTAAACCATGAGCCCTAAACCCTAAACTTTGAAGGTCCGAAACCCCTAAACCATGGCTTGAAACCCCGCAACCAGACCCCCGGCTTGCTCGGACCTTGCAGGGAGGCCGCGTCGAGGCCTGCGAGGACCGAGAGCGCCTCAGTCCACTGCTCCGCCTGGGCAAACATACTTCGGGTTCGATGGGTTTAAGGCGTAGGGTTTAGAGGCTTAGGGTTGAGAGTTAAGGGTTTAGGGTTAAGGGTTTAGGGGTTAGGGTTTAGGGGTTAAGGGTTAAGGGTTAAGGGTTAAGGGTTAAGGGTTAAGGGTTAAGGGTTACGGGTTAAGGGTTAAGGGTTAAGGGTTAAGGGCTTAGGGTTTAGGGCTTAGGGCTTAGGGCTTAGGGCTTAGGGCTTAGGGCTTAGGGGTTTAGGGTTTAGGGTCTAGGGTTTAGGGTCGGGTTTAGGGTTTAGGGTTTGGGCGGCAAAACTTTAAACCCCAAAAACCCAAGCCCTAAACCTCTAAACCCCAGGCAAACCCTAAAACCCTAAACCCCAAAACCTCTAAACCCCAAGCCAAACCCTAAAACCCTAAACCCCAAAACCTCTAAACCCCAAGCAAAACCCTAAAACCCTAAACCCCAAAACCCCAAGCCCTAAACCCTAAAGCAGGGTGGGGGGGAAGCCAGTCCTTGCTGCAGGCGCTGATGGCCGAGTTGTGGGAGATGATGTCCTTGGCTGGGCGTAAACCGCCACAGTTCAGTGCGCGGGGGTTTTAGGGAAGTTCAGGGTTTAGGGTTTAAGTGTCAGCGCGTGGGGTTTTAGGGAGGTTTGTGGTTTGTGATTCAAGCAGTTCAGGTTGTCCACTGAAGCCCCTAAACCCCCCTTAACCCAGCCGCTTAAGCCTCCCTTTCATAATGTACACAAAACCTTAATGGCCCAAGTCGGCGGCGAAGGGTTCCTAGATTTCAGGATGGTCGATACCAGAGTAGCGAGCTTCACTGGCAAATGCTTGGACTTGAGATGCTGAACCCTAGAATCCCTAAACCCGAATCCCTCCACCCTAAACCCTAAACCCGAAACCCTCAACACTAAACCCTAAACCCTAAACCCCAAACCCTAAACCCTAAACTCCCCGCCGGACCAACAAAAGTTTGGTGCCAAAGCTCGGCTTGGAAGCGTCTCCTCGGGAGCTCCAACAGAAGACCCACGGCACGCGCCCAGGCCTGGGCTATGGGGCTTCAAGGGGTTTTGGGCTCAGGGCTCAGGGCTTAGGGCAGAGGGCTTGGGGCTCAGGGCTCAGGGCTTGGGGCTGAGGGCTTAGGGCTTAGGAGGTTGAGGGGGGTTTAGGGAGGTTCAGAGAGGCCCAAGGAGGTTTAGGGAGGTTTAGGGGCTAACTGTTCATCTTACCTGGTCTCAAAGGTTTTGTTTTTGCACGAGGTGGAGGCTGCGAGGGTTTGAGAGGTCTCAGCGCACTTGAGAGCGATGACCTTCGGCCCTCCACAAGTAGTTTTTGCTGGGTGGCTTGGGCCGGTTGAGGGACCGTTCAAAACCCAGATGTCTGTGCCCCCCCCCCCCTCCTTTCTCATGGGGACCCTAAACCCTCAACCCCTAAACCCCAAACCCATACACCCCTAAACCCTAAAGAATTCTGCAGGACGTCGGAGGAGGGCCTCTCGTGATGTAGCCCTGAACCCTGTGCCTAAAACCCTGAAACACGAAGACCTGAACTAAACCCGAAACCCTAAACCCTAAACCCTCTAGACAAAATAAATAGAAATTGTATGTGCTCTCATTCTGTACTCCAAAGCGTCTGTTTATCTAAACAGCTGAAACAGCCGAGCTTAAGTGAATTACTCTGATTAAAGCACATATGAGGCTTCCCCGGATGCTTTATTGGGCACCGGGCTCTAGACCGTAGCAAGCTACACGATGTGGCTGATGTTTTTTCACACGGCCCCCACCCCACCTCCGAATGTTCGACACTGCCGGACTGCGCAACTGTTAAATTGTCGAAGTTCGAACACACTCCGGAAACGAGGTTTGAGCACGACGCAACACAATGAATTTTCAGGTTTCAGAATTTCAGTACCATTGCACCGGGGCTGGAGAAATGACAGACCCGAGACACGTGGGACAAGGGGCGACGCAGCTGCATCCCTGCACGCCGGTCAGCGGTCAAGCTTTGTTTCAGTTTCCAACAGCCACTCCTTGCCTGTCGGTAAAATTCGTGCCACTGTGATGTCATGGCGTCAGCGGGTAGGGTAGTCGTCGTCGTGCTATTGCTGAGATGAGCCGTCGGTTGAGCCATCAGGTGCATAATCTTACCCACTCAATCAGTTTGAATAAATGACAGGAAGCATCCAGGTCCTATGTATGTTGCAAAGTATGCGAGACCCAGGCCTGAACACTGTAGTATACTGCGGTACAATTTCGGGTTTAGGGTATGGGTATACAAATGCGATGCTATGCCACGGGCTTGCCGGAAGCCCTAGGATTAGAGATACCTCTTTCACGGCAACACGAAACAACTACCCTAAACCCTAACCTTGCAGCATGCTGGACCGAAGTTTTGGTTTCGGGTTTAGGTTTGGGGCCACGGGGCACATGCACAAGATTATACAATTGCCCCCCGCCGCCGCGGGCCAACCGCGCCGCTGCCGCCGCCGCCGCCCACCGCACCGCCACGCGGCCGGCCCCGCCACTCACTGGGGGGGCCGGGAGCCGCCCACCCCCCGTCCCGCCCGCCGCCCGCCTCTCACTCCGTCCACCCTCACGCCTCTCGCCCTCATCGCCCTCTCGCCCTCTCGGCCCTCTCTCGCCCTCGCCTCGTTCGCCCTCTCTCCCGCTCTCCCTCTCTCCCTCTTGCCCTCTCATCCCTCCCTCTCTCCCTCTCATCCCTCTCTCCCTTCTCTAATCCCTCTCTCCCTCTCTCTCCCTCTCTCTCCCTCTCTCTCCCTCTCTCTCCCTCTCTCTCCCTTTCTCTCCCTCTCTCTCCCTCTCTCCCTCTCTCCCTCTCTGGAACAAGAGTTTTCGGGCACCTAACCCATCAAAACTGAAGGACATCCCACCCAAACCGAACCCCTCTAGCCTCAATCAAGCTAAGCCCCGAACCCCCCTAAGCCCTAAACTCCCCCACAAAACCCCTGAGCCCGTAAACAAAAACCTATAAACCATGCAACACCCCCATGAAACCCCTCTAACATCTGCCTAACTAAACCCTGAACATCCAGGGCACGTGAGTTAAGCCATAAACCCTAAACTACCAGGAATAACAGAAATGACAGGTCTCCGGCTCCTCAGAAAATATACATGAGCAATTAAATAGCAACAATACCGCGACAATTAATTAATACTTTAAACATTTTTTTGGACAGGCCAGATGTCATTTTCTCTGTCACACGCGGTGCCTGCTGCAGCCTTGCCGATGCTGCGCAGGTCCTGCTGACCACTTTCTCCACACTGCTTCGAGCTGCCGATTTTTGAAAGGGCAGCACGACCCCACAGCCTGGCGCTACAAAACTTTGATTAGTTGAAGCTCACGCGGGCGTTAGCGGCCCTGGGTACTCTCTTCTCTCTCTCTCTCTCTCTCTCTCTTTCTCTCTCTCTCTCTCTCTCTCTCTCTCTCTCTCTCTCTCTCTCTCTCTTTTTTTTT